GTGTAGTCGAGTGGCTAATTCCTGACCAAAACATTATAGAAAAAAAACATGCGTTTTCATACACATACAAAGGAAAAAAGTATGTCCTTGATCCTAAAAAACTTCAAAACACAATGAGTTTAGTATCACTACATGCTATACAAGTAGATTTGAGTAATGCTTTCTCCTGATAAATCATTTGATAAAGCAGCTGACATTTGCCTCCACCAATAAACTTCAGCCAGTTTACAATGATGAGCCAGCTTCAGCAGAACTTGAACTCTGAGCAGGTGTGTGAGTCCGTGTACTCACCTTGTTGGGGTGGGCTTGTATTGACAGAGCCGTGTTGACCGAGAGAACTTTGAAGAGGAAAGGCAGCTGACCCTGGAAGGTGTCTTTCACCTTTGAGCCCAGACATGCAGGGAAGTGGGCGATCCACTGGCCCAGGGTGGTCTGTGCGATCCTGTTGTCCTTAATCTGGGCGTCACCTTTTGGGTGAGCGCCCATCCACAGCTGGAGAAAACAGCACAGCTTTCAGCTGAATAACAGCTCATACTTTATTTACTTTATTTAGAAATATTCCTGTTGGTGTTGCAGCAAGAGGTTCCAAAAGTGGGCACACTTTACATTTCCTAAGTACTAAATCTTAAGTAAATATAATTAAATAAATAATAAAAAACACAGTTTTGTAGCTCTCCTTATTTTCTTTTTATCTGCCTTGAAACTTTCTAAAAGAACCTATGAGAGGCCCCAGATGTCTTGCTGACTGAGAGAAAAGCCTGCGATTATACATGGACCCAATTAATCCAATACTCCAAACCACGGTCATTTATAGTCAGTGAAAAGGAAGGAATCCAAACTATGAGAGTGTAATCTACGGGATCAGAGCGCTATTCCAGTTTGTAAATAAAGGACAAGCTCTATCAAAGTCACGTGTCAGTGAGCAAACAGATGATCCAAAAACTAGACACCTACACTGTACGTCATGATCTTATCAGATTTGACAGCACACTAAGGTTGAATAGTGTTTTTATATTTAATCAGGCTACTTCCAGAGTTTCCATTTGGAATCAATGACGTTTTTATGGAGTCTTTTATTCACAGCATGGTTGTTTAATAGATTGTCTGCTGGGGGAATTTGTTTTCTATTGATTGTTAAGCTGTGCCTAAAACCACTGAATGAAGCACAAACTGTGTGCTGTATGGAATATATCACAGAATCGGTGTGTAATGATTCAGAGATTGAGAAAATCAAATATAGTTGTATTTAATTGTATTTTGATTCTAAATCTTTTTTACACTGGTTCTAGAACACAAAACACACCGAGAATACTTGTTCAACCAGTACATATAATTTCACTTTGATCCGTGACTAACTGAATTGGTTTCCACATCTTGTTTATCAATCAGGTTTAAATGGACTCTAATGTGTAAATAACTGGAATTAAAATGATTATTTTTACTGCTAAAAATAATCATTGTAGAAAGTTATTAATCTGGTTATAGATTAATAACTTTCTACAGCATATCTTGCAATCTTGCATACTTATATAGTATATTTATATGTTCTTGGTTCTCAGTGAGAACCATTTGATAACATCTCTGCAGTAGGTGACTCAGATAGGGATCATTTTCTGTGAAAAAAAAAAAGTCATACAACCTGTGAAATGCCCCCTTTAGATTGGTCAGGTGGTGCCAAGACCACCCCTTTTATGCAAACGGGCAGGGGAATGCCTGGGATAATTTAGCCAGTTAACTAGTTTTGCGTTAATGTTTATTCATATTAGAGGCCCAGGTCTGAAACGTAAAGCCTTAGGTACCTTAAATCTCCGTTATTTTTACTAGCCACCAGGGGGCAATGACTGTGACTATAACAGGAAGTCTGTGGGAAAAAAGCAACAGCTGTGGGAAGAGTTGTGGTGACATGTCCCTTAAAAAGAACAAAACAAAATAAAACACCAAAAGTCAGTTAAACAAAAAGACATGTCACATAATGTGTTGATCAAATCCATCCTTCTGAAAATGTGTACAACCAAGGGATGTGGTCCACAGTACGTAAAAATATCAGCACTATCGTAACCTGAACTAATGACCTTTATGCCAAACACTGCAAAGCTGTCGTGGCTAAATAAAGACAGACTAAAGGCATGCACAGCACCGAGCCTGTGCCAAGACAGCCTAGGAAACGACTGCATTTAAAACCAAAATGATTACCTTATTTTTGCTTGGCTGAGGAGTTGTGTATCATTAACCGTAACATAAGACTACAGAGCTAAATTCAAATGTTAAAGATCCCTCATTGCTGACAGTAAGTGTAAACAAGCTCGAGCAACTCAAGCGTAGCTATCTCAAGAAATGGTAGTCCTACAATTCTATTCAAATCTATTCCAGAAAACCAGAGTGAAAACCAAGTTTCCAGCTCTGTTCCAGCATAGTGGTTTCATGTTTTCAGAAAACCTGAAAAAATTAAGTTTCCTTAACTTTTAAGAATGAATCACATGCATGCTTGTACATTTTCAATACTGAGTGATAAATGTTCACTACCCTCCCTCCAACAGGTACCCCAAATATCTCTGGGCCTTACCTCTGCATAAGGTTTATCAGCCTCTACGACAGCAAGTGCATCTCCGCCAATCACCAGCTTGGCCACCTCGCTGTCCAGTCCAACCTTGCCCCATGCATAATTTTGCACAGCACAGGTCAGGGGAAACACTGAGGAGGAAATATTTAATGTGCAATAAGTGTATAAATATTACAAAAAACAAAACAAAAACATACAGTGAGTTACAAAACTCTAGTATGAGCCTCTTTAATGTTCTACTGACAGGTGCGTATGCACACAGCAGCCAGTTTATCAGCAGCAGAACTGAGACAATAACACATTAGGTTTCCATCTTCACACACAGTGAGACCCATGTCGAGTTTTTAATGGTGATAGCTGTACAGCTCTAAGATCATTCAAACAACAAGCCATCTTTAAATATCATCAGAAGCTCATGGTAATAATTGTTTTTTGTGCCCATGATCCAGTAATCCTTTATAATGCAATACCAATCATCAGAAAAAACCTGCGTTAAAGTAATCTATAAGAATATTAAAATGCATTAGATTTATGTAGGTACAGGAAAATTGTGTGATTTAAAAAATATATCATTACCTCTCTTTCTGTCTTATCACAGTTTGAACTATAATAAACAAGTTTCTGGATTCACTGGATTTCTAATAACTACCTGCTTCGCTAAACTAGTAAGACAAGCGGAACGGGTCGCTGGGGGTACATTTTTAATCAGAACACCGGGCAGCTGACGGTGCAGCCTTCACAGGACAGAAACACACAGTAAGCAGCTTTACGTTTGGCAGACTCTGTTTGCCGGTTTCAGACAAATGTAGCTGAAAGTAAAGGTTTTATATGCGGTGGGGAAAAATACTAAAGTCCATCTTTGTGGCTGAGGTGCTAACAGCACAGTGAAAAGGACAGTGAGCCACACGTAAAGCAATCAAAACGCCGGCTGAAACAATGAGGTGGTTTTTCGGGTAACGCCGAGCCTCCCGTCATATTACCGAGCAGCACCGGACATCACGCAGCGTAAACAAACATCTGCTGTTAGCTAGCTGAGTATGTATCCGTGAAAGAGATAATTTCAGACAGTTTAAAAGGAGTAAATCTCTCACCTCTCACTTCCTCCATGTCTGCGACGTCGACTGACGGCTGCTGGTGACGTCACGACGGACGTGGCAGATGTTGTTTTTTT